CCCCCCCCCCTTCTTATTCTACTGATGCTCTACTTCCTTTTGTCATGAGCTCATAAGGGGCAGAAGTAAAAGTTTTTAGCAGGAGCTCCACTTGTTGTCAAGATGGATATGTTTGTACACACGGAGAAAATTAATTTTACTGCGATTATCCTATTTTATTTTACCATATTTGTGCTTTTATTTTACCCTATTTTGTGCTTCGTAGGATGCTTTTCGATTAGTGACCACAGGTGACAGTGCTGTTCCTGAAAGTATGACGAAAAAGCCACTTTTGTATTGAGCGATGTCAGTCCTGGGTTGGGTTAATTGAATGAAATATGTAGTGCGCTGTCAAAAGTTTTTACTTTTTTTAAAATCTTGATCACCTACTCATTTTTCAGGCTGATTTAAGGAGTTCATAAAATCTACAATTATTTTTCTTAGGAAGAGGATGCCGAGCGCGATGCATCTACGGTTTCATCCATACGTGCGAAATTTGCGGCTAAGAGGAAGGTTAGTAGTACGGTAGTGCTCGAATGCATACTGAATATGATGCTTTTCCTCATTTACTGTTTCGAAATTGTGCATCTAAACTGAGTTGCTCAATAAACAGTATTCAGATTGATGAAGTGGATGATGATGGCAAGGATGAAGACTTTGAGAAAATGATTGATGACGAACGTCGGAAGCAGGAGCGCGAAAGAATGTGAGTATACATAGCTTTTATTTTCCACAGCATCGGAGCCAATATCATTCTGGATCGGCCAATTCTTCCGTCCCTCCGAAATCGATCATTCAGAATTCGTCTGAAGATGTGCAGATTTACCAGTTTTCGCAATTAGTTGCACAGTTAGATAAACATTCAAACTCTACTGGGAATTTTAATGGGGTATTTTTAAATAAGTGAAGGCAGTCCACTTCGAAAAATTATCCCATCCCTAATGCATCTGGGATCGTGTTTGTTACGTATGCATCTGTAATTCAAACGTTGTAGGGAAGCGATGCAGGCTGAGCTGAAAGCTATGCAAAAGGAACACATCAAAGCTTTACGGGGATCGAAACCGAAGCCCGAAAAGGAAGGTATTTGCTAAATTTAGTTGTCTCAGCTACAGCCTTTTCATGGTATCAGGTATTCTTTTTCTCGGAAGAAAGAGGTAGCCTGCTGTTTTCATTCCTCTCTTATGGCGGCTTCTGTATCAGTNGTTATATGTAAAGAAACACTTGTAAAGCTAGTAGCTTTTGGATTGAGTTGATTACCAACATCATAGTAATAAAATTCCAAAGTTCGGTTTCTTTCAGAGGAAGAGCAGTCGGAAGCCATGAAGTTTTATCATGGACTGAAACTAAAGTTCAAATCGAAATCGAAGGATATTGTAAAGACCAAAGATCCTAATCGTGAAAATCAGGTAAGTTATAGGACATGGAAATCACTTTAAATAGAGCAGTTTTGGCAGAATCACAGTAACTGCTCAGTTGTTCCTTTTTTGTTATTCTTTCATGATTTTTAGATAGGAATAGGCAGTAACTACTCTTTTACTACAACGCGAGAACATCATGCTCTGAAAATTTCACTCAACGTTTCCCTTCAAAATGCCTATCATTTTAATTAGACCATGAGTATGCTCGAGCGATTTCAAAAGCGTCTTGCGGCGTCAAGTCAATCGGCAATCCTTCACGATAAGAAGATCGAGATAAAGGAAGACGAGGAAAAACCTGAGGAAAAGAAGTTTGGGATCGATTTGGATGCAGAAGATGTTGCTGGAGATGATTGGTAGGTTGCTGTTTGTGACTCTTACTTATAGTGCAAGCTGATTTAGTCGTCTTTCAAAACCTTTACTATTTCTGGACAGAGTTATGCTTTCGATTTTCATTAGAATTTGGCCATATGCAAAAAAAGAAAACCTTATTTCTTTCGAAGGTTTCCTTCTGATCCAGACCATTTGCCATCTTCTGCTCCTACAGAATATTGGCTTAATTTTCCGTTTGGAGTTATCTCTGGGGATTGAATTGAAGGCTTTCCTAGACCAACTTCAACAGAATCTCTTTTTTCGCTGCATACTATGCATTGGAAAAAGAGGTTTACCTCTCCAGAAGGCTCGGTCAAAGGACCTGGGTGCTTATGGTGAACGGTATCGCTACCGTGCCAAGTAGAAATTAGGTTTTTTCGGTCCCAGGAGAGTATTTTCCTCCGTACCTGCTGTCTTGACTACGAACATCTATATAAATTTTTGTTTTCACAGGTCATGTGCTTTCACATTTCTCAAGGCCCATTTCTCCATGTCACCCTTTTGGTCATGATTTTCCCCTTTTGACCTGCATAATTCTCTCGAAGTGATGGCTCTCTGAAAGAGATCCTTATATTCTCAACTCCCGAAGCTAGCCCATGCTCAAACCCCTTCTTTCTGGTCTTATTTCGTTTCGTTTTTGAGCTTGTGATTTCTTTATAGGTGTTAAAGTCTCTACATTTTTTTCTGGCCAACTGCTCC